GGGCTTGATTGTGTCATCCCCGACCCACGCATGCAGGTAAGGGAGGGCTCTAGCAGGCCTGGACAAGTGGAAGACCATGTATTTGGGTTGATTTGCTGCTAATGCCTTTAGGGAAGGTGCCTTCCTTCCTAATCTCGCCTGCCCTAATGACTCTCAAAGGGCAGTCAGGCAAGGCCTGGGATCGCAATTGTCTGGGCACAGTTATAGCGGAGAAGAAAAGAAAAAAGCAGCTCCCCTGGTGTGTGTGTGAGTGTGGAGGTGGTAGCAAGAGTTGCTAGGAAACCACAGGAGCTCAACATGCATATTACCAAATCTGGAAGATAATTCATTTGAAATAATAACAATAATAGGACAGCAATTTGCACATTAAGAGAATTAATTTGGCTTCTCTCTGCCTGCATTTGTCTCAGGGATCAGACGGAAAGGCAGGTGTCAGCGAAGGGGGGGATTTTTTTCCTTATGAGGCAATGTGGCAAAAATGAACAGCACAGGGAGAATACTATGGCTTTTCTAAAACATTGTGTGGGTCTGCTCGGATGTTATGGTGAGGGGGGAGATATATCTACATAGACAAGCCTTGCATGATGGCAGTTCTCTGGCAGTCACCTTCCTACGCTGTCCACAGGGGTCAATAATGGAGTCGGAAGAAAATCAGGAGCACAGCCTATCCGAAGGAATAATATCTCATCTTCTATAGATGCATAGGACTGGAAGGGACCTCAAGAGGCCATCAAGTCCAGTCCCCTGCCCTCACGGCAGGACAGGAGTTTGTCTAATCTTCTCTTAAAAATCTCTAATGATGGAGACTACACAACCTCCTTAGGCAATTTATTCCAGTACGGAACCACCCTGGCTATTAGGAAGTTTTAGGGAAAACTATTTCACCAGGGGCACATCTACACAGCAAGACAAAAGTCAAATTAAGCGATGCAACTTCAGCTACGTCAATTGCGAAGCTCAAGTCAAAATAGCTTAATTCGGCTTTTGGAGCTGTCTACCCAGCAGGAAGTCGAAGGAAGAGCACTCTTCCTTCAACTTCCCTTACTCCTCGTGAAATGAGGGCTACAGGAGTTGGAATAAAGTCCTCCGGCTCCCCATTATTTCGAAATAATGGTTTGCTGTGTAGATACACTCTTCATAATTTCAGAATAAAGTCAGTTATTCCGAAATAACACTGCTATATAGACACACACTAGGAAGGTGGGGAAGCACTGGAATGGGTTGTCTACAGAGATGATGGAATCTCCATCCCTAGAAGTTTTTAAGGTGAGGCTTGATAAAACCTTGGCGGGGATGATTGAATTGGGGTTGGTCCTGCTTTGGGCAGCGGGTTGGACTGGATGATTCCTGAGGGCTCTGCCAGCCCTGGGATTCTATGATGACCTCTTGAGGTCTCTTCCAGCCCTAATAGTCTATGATTCTGTGATTCTATGATAAGAAAACACTCTTACTGGATTGCATGTTTGGAAAGTACCTATTCACTGTTCTTGTTGATTTCCATATATTCTAGGAGAGAATGATTTTATTCTCCGACATAAATCTTACTTGACAGATACCTGTGGTCTTCCAGATTTTCTGTGCCCTTGATTTGGAAGATACACTCCTTCTTACAGTATGGCTTGAAGCACAATACCCTGAGGTCTAAAAGAAAGCTCTTTATAACATTGGCACCAACAGTTGCGTCTTTTGTAACCATCCCAAACATGCAGAGGATGTCAAGTCTTGTGTGTTGGAGTCCTACTGCCAGTCCTACTCCCTTCCCACTGGGCTGGGAGCTGTTATTAGCATTATCCATCCCATCTAATTTTATCAGCTAACACCATACCAAGAATGTTCTTGGCAGAAAATAGAACTACACTGGCTAATTAACAGCTGCTCACACATTTCCCCCTCTAAATAATTAATGGTTTGAATATCTATAGCACTCTTGGTGTCTACACTCATGAGCGCTGCATTGAGCTACTCGCACAATAATTTTTGTTAAATTCTTTTTTTGGATCTAAAAGAAAGTCATCATCAAAGATAACCCAATGAAGGCTTTTAAGATGTGGTTTTCTAGCACCACAACATAGTATGAAAGCCAGTAAGGGCCAGATTCCCTTCTGTGTGCTTTAAGGGTCTGTAGTTCTGTTCTGCAGCTCTCTGGATCAGAATTGAGGCTTGCATCTGTATTCTAGATAGAAATTCTAGGTTTGCTCTTTGCATATAGAAAAAAATGTACCAAACAAGATTGGGGATTGAGAAAGCAACAGCTTCTGCCACCCTAGCTAGGGTATCCGAGTATACAGGAGATGGAAAGTACAGGCTTTTTTGTATTGCTTTCATTATATTAAGCCTTTCTTAAAATGACCTTAGTCTGCAACAACATTCAGGTCTTTCATTACTGTGGGATGCATGAACAGGAGTGTTGTGAGCAAGACACAAGAAGTCATTCTGCTCAACTCTGCACTTATTAGGCCTCAGTTGGAGTAGTGTGTCCAGTTCTGGGCACCACATTTCAATACAGATGTGGAGAAATCGGATATAGATCAGAGAAGAGCAACAACAGTGATTAAAGGTCTAGAAAACATCAGCAATGAGGGAAGACTTGAAAGAGTTCCATTTGTTTAGTCCAGAAAAGAGAAGACTGAGAGGGGACATCAGAGCAGATTTCAAGAAACTAAAAGGTTGTTACAAGGAGGAGGGGGAAAAATAGTCTCCTTGACCTCTAAGGATAGCACAAGAAACAATGGGCTTATGTTGCAGCAAGAGAGGGTTAGGTTCAACATTAGGTAAATATTCCTAACTGTCAGGGTGGTTAAACACTGGAATAAATTGCCTAGGGAGGTTGTTCAAACTCCGTCACTGGAGATTCTTAAGAGCTGGTTAGATAAACACCTGTCAGGGATGATCTAAGTGATGCTTGGTCCTGCCGTGAGGGAAAGAACTGGACTTGATGACTTCTTGTCGTCCCTTCCAGTTCTAGAATTCGTTGATTCTATGATTAATATTGAAACAGAAAGAAATGTGTCGAAGGCTTCCTTTCTCCTTAGCTGGAGACCAGAGTTCACATGGCTCTCTGGAAAAATAAAGGGTCAGATCCATAGGCTAAGTCTAAACTACAAGCCTCTTCCACAAGAGAAAATGCAAATGGAGTGCTCATTTGCATACCGTGCATCTCATTTGCATTTCCTCTTCCTTTCCCTTTTGCTCAAGAGGTTTTTGCACAAAAAAACGCTGTGTAGAGGAATAACGGCTCTTACCAAAAGGGGGTTTTGCACAAAAGGTGCTGTCTACACAGCACTTCTTTGTGCAAAAACCTCTTGCGCAAAATGAAAAGGAAGCGGAAATGCAAATGAGAGCACAACATATGCAAATGAGTGCTCCATTTGCATTTCCTCTTGCGGAAGAGGCTCGTAGTCTAGACGTAGCCATAGTGTAAGCCAGCAAAGCTCCGATAACTTCAGCTGAGGCTCTGACCTACTGCTGTCATTTCCCTGTTGCAGCTGGAGACTAGAGCACTGTGCAAAAATAAAAAGGAAAAAAGCCAAGAAATTCAAGGAAGCTATCGCATGTGGCGTGGAGTGCACACACCGATTATCTGTTCTACTTAGGATGCTGAGAAGCTGACATGACACCTTAAATGAAGCTGGAAAACAGGCTGGAGGGCGAAGTTATGAATTGCTACTGTTACATGTGTTGAGAGGAACAATAACTGTTTAGAAAGCAAATGTCCCCCATCATAATAGCCAGTTATTATCATGCCAGTCCTGGAACCATCTTAATGTTGCAACAGCCAGACAGCGCGGTTATAATGAAGTGACGGAGGGGAACAAGTGTATTGCCTACACAACTCATCTCTTTGTTATTCTGACTCTTTGTCTTAGGGAAAAAAATGGAATTTTCCTGTGAACACTTCAAATCTTTACATTGAACCAGTTTTTGAGACAGGTTTAAACATTCACTCTTTACTGCTTTGGGTGAGCTGCAGTAGAGCTGCATATGGAAATTAAATTGTGTCGAGCTCATTATACTCCTATATAATTTGATAGAGCCACTTAGAGTCAGACCTTTATCTTATTTTCCATCTCTTCATTGCCTTCCACAGATGAAAGATTCCCCTCCACTCCTTTGTGATTCTTTTAATCTTATCTTACCCTTGGCTCTATTAAAGCAACAGAGCATCGTATCAAATGCAGAGTATCGTTTAATCTTTTCCAACGCAGAAGGACACGACTTGCAATCTATTTATAGAACAATACACAGACTATGGAATTAAGTGGGCCTCAGCTTTTCCACTAAGCACAGAGTGACTGATTAGAGAGAAAGATTTGAGTGCATTTAACATATGGAACTTTAAACAGTCCTCAGCAATTATATGATGATATTTCTTGTTTCCTTCCAGGCTACACAAGAACTGTAATAAATCAGGGCTGGATTCTGCCTTACGTATTTACACTGCATAGTGCCTGGCTCCTTGAATATTGATATCAATGGGATTGTTCAAGAAGTAAGATACAGGTTGAACCTCACAAGTCTAGCACCTTTGGGACCTGACTGATGCCGAACTAGAGAATTCTCTGAACCACAGGAGGTCAGTATTGTCTAGCAGCATCACCAACACTTCCACTACTTGCTGGGCTGTTAGAAGACATTTAGAGGCAAATTAGAGCTAAGTAACAGCACAAAACATTGAGAGCCAGGACCGGTGGCTGTAAAGAAACTTTAGGGGGGCGGCAGGAAACTTGACCACACCCATGATCAGTGTGTCCACCCATGATAAGTGGACATCCAGCTCACTAAAATCACGCCGGACCATGGATGTTGCCAGACCAGAAAGTGCCAGGCTAGAGAGGTTCAACCTGTACTATTCTGCATGAATCAGGTTGCCAGGATCTGTCCCCAAACCAGTGACACTTTTCACTTAATAACTGTCTTCTCGAAAGCAGCTGCATACTTTACTGCATTATGAATAGTGCAGCTACTGCATTTGTTTTCCCATTAGGACAACTGAAGTTTCTGCCTGACTCTGACAAGCACAGGGCGATGACTATGTGTGTATCAGTCATCTCTTTCTGCAGCTTTCTGAATCTTGCTTCCAGAGCGTCTTTCACATGAATCCCAGCCCTGCCCACAGATCGACAGAGTGTAGGTGAGCATACCACAATCCCTCAGGGTAGCCATTGATTGCAAGTGGACTGAAACAGTGCGGGGCGGGGGAGGGAGGATTCTTATTGCGGCCGCTACGGGGCTTGCAGCTTGCCTGAGCCAGGAAGAGGAAGGGGAGCTATGTGCCTTCTTACTTCTGTTCACTGTAATGAATTCCAATCCCCCAGTGTTCCCCCAATGTGGACTGTGCTCAACGGGTCTGACCCAGCCATGGAGAGCGAGTGTCTCTGCCAGGCCAGCATTCTTTGTCTTTTCTCTTTCTGGCCCTCCTTGCTGAGATGGGGGAGGTGACAAAGCTAAGAAAAGACTAAGAAAAGCTAAGAAGGGAGGCGGGGAGGCCTCGTGAGAACTGAATTCCAGAAAATTACTTCGTCCCCCAGCCTGGCAATGACGCCAACAGATTTCAAGTGTCTGTGCGCAAAGTTATCTGGACATCCGACCCTCTCGCTGAAGGAACCAAATGCAAACCCTCAGCTGCCTTTTGCTGCCCACCATGACAACATGTTGTCTTAGAAATGCGGAGGAGGGGTTCTCTCATTTCTTTGGTGGCAAGCTCTCGTACACCCCTGTTCCTCCCAGTATAGCCGTGTCCTGGGATCTATTCATCTCATCCCATGCTAACATGACAGTTGCCTGCCCCAGTACAGCCACTGTGACTGGACCTGGCTGAAAAAAGCTGTGGAACGGCAGAGGGGACTCTAAGATGAGCGTGTGGTGGAGAGGGTCTGACACAGTCTGCTCTAGGGACCGGAGCTTTCCTCTGCCAGGTCAAACCCTTCCCGGAAGAAGCAGACATGGAATGACTGACCCTTGGGCTGCGCAACGCTACAGGGCATTTCTTATTTAGCGGAGAATCCTGCGCTGGCGGATCCCTATTGAGGGCGCACATTTTGTGTGCATTGCTGGTCACACTGACTCTTCCGGAAGAGCTACATAAAAGAGAGAGAGCGGTACAGGTGTGGGCAGTTCACTGAAAGAGCACCAGTTACAGGTGGATAAGACTTGCTCCAGTGTCGCCCGGTCTGTCAGAGCAGCTGTTATTCACTGCACATAGCAGCTCTAGTTTCTGCCTCTCTTCTTTCTGTGTCTCCTCCCTTCGCCTTCCAAAGGGGAAATAGTTGCAATGCTGGCCCTGGGGTCACACTCAATGAGAGGAGGAAACGGGTCCCAAAAGATGGACCCTTCTGTCCTGGGAGCAACTAGCACATCCCATGTTCTTATCAGAATAGCAACAAAAAACTGCCCCCCACTCCACCGTGCATCGTTGAACACCCAGGGAGAAACCCGCCTCACATTCTGTGTGGGCCTCCAATTTGTCAGCAGAAAGCTCTAAGGTTGTCATGGCGACCCTTGTTTTTTGCATTCCAGCATTGTTACACGTTCTGACAAGAATGGCTCCTAATTGTCCTGACTCAATAGCTAACGAAGTTTATGCTTCTAATGTGGACGAAAATGAACTTGCTGCCTGCCGGATGATGGAGCCAGTGGACAATGGGGAAAGCTGCCTCTTGATTCTTGCTTTCGTTGAGAGGTGATGCTGAGTTCGGTCTCAGCACCTACACTTAGAGGAAGAACAGGTGGCTCAAATTATCATCATGCAAGAGTCTGCATAGTAAACAAGAGATTTGCTTTACCACGGGTAAGCGGAAAGCTGGGTAAATATTTCCTGAGGAGCAATTCCTCCAGTGAATTTAGCTTCTTCTGTTTGAGCTGACTGCAATATCCCCAAATGATGATGATTATGTATTATTTGTATTACTGTGGCACATAGGTGTCACAGCTATAGCATAGAGGAGAGGCGCCGTACTAGCTGCTATCCAAATAGAACAAAAAGACAGCCCCTGCTGCATCACAAGAGCTCATACCAGGTTCCTTGGTACTTTATGCTGAGCATGTTAACTGTGGCTTGTCTTGGCAAGGCTTAGACAGTTTCAGGCACCTGACTCACTGCTGCAAAAAAAGCAGACATGATTCTGGGATGCATGAACAGGAGTGCTGTAAGAAGACACGAGAAGTCATTCTTCCACTCTACTCTGCACTGATTAGGCCTCAATTGAAGTAGTGTGTCCAGTTCTGGCCACCATATTTCAGGAAAGATGTGGAGAAATTGGATAAAGTCCAGAGAAGAGCAACAAAAACTAGATTAAAGGCCTAGAAAACATGACCTATGAGGGAAGGCTAAAGGAATTGGGCGTGTTTAGTTTGGAAAAGAGAAGACTGAGAGGGGACATGATAGCTGTTTTCAAGTACCTAAAAGAATGTTACAAGGAGGAGGAGGAGAAATTGTTCTCCTTGAACTCTAAGAATAGGACAAGCAGCAATGGGCTTAAACTACAGCAAGGGAGATTTAGGTTGGACATTAGGAAAAACTTCCTACCTGTCAGGGTGGTTAAACACTAGAATAAATTGCCTAGCTAGGTTGTGGAATCTCCATCACTTGTTTAAGAGCAGGTTGGATAGACATCTATCAGGGATGATCTAGATCAGGGGTTCCCAACCTGGGGTAGGCGAACCCCCAGGGGATACGAGAAGCTTGTCAAGGGGGTACGGGGAATATTTGGTAAATAACTAGATTATCCCAATTGAAATATTCCAAAAGTAGTAGTGGTAGTGAAAAAAGTTGTGGATTCTAGAGTCTAGAATTTATTTCCTCTCATACTGAAAAGGGGGCATGGGAAGGTTTACTAAAAGCCAAGGGAGTATGGGGACCAAAAAAGGTTGGGAACCCCTGATCTAAATGGTGCTTGGTCCTGCCGTGAGTGCAGGGGACTGGACTTGATGATCTCTCAAGGTCCCTCCAGTTCCAGTGTTCTGTGATTCTATGAGATGAAGCAGACATCATCGACCATTACAAATCCTACTAATGGCGATACAGAATCAGCCATCTGGGAAGTGCAGCGCTGCATCCCTGCCAGGAGCAGAGAGGAGACCCTTTCACACGGGTGACTAAGGAACCACCAAAGGATGGGGGAGTTTTGTAAGGGTGCTCACTTCTCACCGCACCGCCACCCACTAATGAGTGCTGGTAGCAAAATGGGGTGTTTGCCTGGGGCTAGGGCAGATGTGCAGTGGGAATAGGGTCAGTGTTCAAATATGTGCACATGAGTTTTCAGCCCTGGTTCACCAGTTTGAATCCTCCCCAGGAATGAGAGGTTAGGGACATCTGTCCTATGCAGTTTGTGGAACGGAGAGCAGGAGTTTGAACTAGAGAAGGCTGGAAAATGCTACTTAGTTTCAGAAAAATTCAAAAGCAATGAATCAGTTGTCTTTTTTTTTTGACAGTCAGAAAAATGCCTTATATTTTAAAACCCTCCAATAACTTTCAGTGTTCCTCCTCCCTTGCTCTCCCTTCCCTCCACTGAGGAAATGGAAAGCAAGAAGGGGGATGGGGAAACATTTAAAATACTCAAAATGTGGATTAATTGTTGTGTTAAAAACAAACCCCCTGAAAAACATCGACCAAAACAAAAAATTTCAAGAAAACACTTTCATTTCTGCTGGAAAGCAATTTTGTGTTGAAAAGAAGTGAGCCAGCACTAGCTTTTACTGTATTTCTTCCACTCCTGAAATCTACCTCTTCAATCACCATTCCTTGTCCTGTAGCATGATGGATGGGAGCAGAGCGTAGCCATGTCTCAATGCTAGCCTCTTGTATTTTCCTCCCTTTCATGCTCAGCAAGATGACTACCTTCTCAGGACAGCCTGCCCCGAATCAGCTGAAAAACCAGACAACCCCCTTGAAAATTTCAAACCCACTTGGCAGCAAATCACACATGCTAATGGTATCTCTCTTGACAGACTTGTCAGACATCTTTCTCAGGGGTAAGATGATGCCATACAACAAGTGTTAAATATTCTCTTCACCATCTTCTCTCTTTGTCTTCTCTTCTGTCTGCCATCACATTTTCCATGCCTACGGAGATGAAGGCTGTAATTCAGGGAACAAGCTGTTTCTAACAAACCTCTCCAGAAGAAAACAGCAAAAACAAAATAGTCACAAGGATGTTTATTTCTGTCTTTTCTTGCCAAAGTGCTCTTTCCCCTGCTTTTCCTAATTTATCCTATATACTCTTGGATTGCATATATTGTTCAACCCTGTAACACATCTTGGAATATAGTTTTGTGTGGGAACTGCTTTAGAAAATGAATTCCTCCTGCATAGTACTTTCCCTTAACTACATTTGGGCATTTGGCCCTTTCCCGGATGTTAGTAATGGAACAAGATAGCTTTCAAAGCTTCTGCAACACATTTCCTGAGTTTGTGGGGTCGAAGTGCTGTAAGCAAAGGCCACTGGCTAATAAATGAAACGTTCAGAACTCACTAAATTGGAATACTCCAAAGCATACTTACGGAAGGCCTGGATTCTGTTGAAGGTTTGTGGAAGCTCTGTGACAGCTGCAAGTCAACTAGGCAAGTGCTCAAAGTGCCAGGGAACAACAAACAAATCCACAATCGTGGCTGGCTGCACTGAACGTGAAGAAGACGACACCCTGAGTGCAAGCCACATGACTCCCTGTGTTGCAGACATGAGGGCACTGGCACTGTGTGACCGTGACAACGCTTCTTTGCTATTGAAAGCAAGACACGTGAGGTCTACGGTTCAGAAGCAGCACGCGAGCCCTGAGGCGATGAGGCTGAATGCACTTAGCCTTCGGAAGGGCTCACCGCGAGCAGATATGGCAAGTGTCCACAAACCCTCAGAAAGCGGAAGGTCAGTCAGTAATAAATGGGATGGGGAAATTAGAAGAAATGGCCCTTCACAAGGGGTGAGGAACCTTTGGTGGGTTGGGGGCCGCTGACCACAGAAAAATCAGTCAGGGGCCACACACAAATAAGAAGCAAAAACAAACAAAAAAACCCAATAGCAAAAAACCCCTCACCGATGTGGGCCCCATCTGAGAAGAAGAAAGACCCTCCCCACATTCCTCTTGCATACCAGAGCCTACGGAGGCCCAGGCTAGTAGATTTTGTGTGCTCCAGCC